CCCACAAAGGGGATAGGAAGTTGCAGAATCAGACCCCAGGCATTGTTCTCACACCTGTGTTTGCTCCTGCACTAAATGTTACACCCCCCCGCAGGGGCCTGTCCCCTCCATGGACCCCCCATGGGTATTGGGGTCAACAAGGAAAGGAAGAAAGGTCTCTGTGGGTGTAAATAGCCCTTAGCCCTGACACAGACGGAAAAAACTCCTGCAGTTGCTTTTTTCAGAGCCCTGCCCCTGCAGCCACCACATGGTTGTGTAATGCAACGGGACAGCCTAGCTGCCTGGCTGCTGTGGTGTCACGTAAGACAGTTTCTACCTCACCACCTCTTTTTCCCCTCTCTGAACGACAGGGGCTGTGAGTCCTGGAGACCTGCTGCGTCAGGAGGGCTGTGATGTTCACCCTGTTCAGGTCTGAGAACATCAAACCTCAGAAGCTGTGTCCATCTCTTTTCAGGTCAGCCTCAGCTCCATATGCACATGGATTGTACGGGACATTCATCTTCATAGCTTCAGCCTCCTTGGCCCTAATGAGATTTGACAGGGGAGTGGATTATGAGAAAATGACTAAGATGCCATTTTTCCTTTTATTAACACAAGAAAAATCAAGCCCATCTGATGTCACAAGAAAATCAAGAGGGCTGTGTATCTTCAGCTTCCCAGCCACCTCAACATACAGATAAAATCAAATCTCACCATTCACTAGTTTTTCCTCATGTCTGTTCTGTTTTCCCTACTAATTTTAGTTTATAACTGCAGTGAGTGAACAAGGGTATGCCACTTGCAAGTCCTTTGAACCAGTCCATGTCTGAATGTCAAGGTTATAGCCATATGACTTCTATCTCCATTCCCACCACTTCTTCTACCTGAACATGGACAGAAGTATCTAACAGCTTGTTCTTTGTCTTATTCAAGGAGAAAGTAGATGCTCCTACAGGCTATTTCTGATCTGTTGGTTGGTTGGACCATACTGCACAAACCAGTGCTTTTCCTTCCCTCTTCCTACCACTCACATTGCTAATCTCTCCTCTCATCCCCAAAATATAAAACATCACTTCCCACATTCCAGAAGCAATCCACTTTTCTGCCTTTTTACACTTGTTGGTCCTGAGGTTCTGATAAGGCAGACTAGAGAAAGGTCAGGAACAGAAATTTAAAATACAGATACAACACAGATTATAAGGTAGGATATAGAATATATAGGCTTCAGAATATAAGAATAAAATACAATTTAAGAACTTTGGATGCTTAAGTAGTCATCTCTGTGTTTTCTTCCCCAGTCCAAGAATTAGTACTTTCCTAGACATGCCTTTACTTTCATTGGATAGTGAGAACTTACAATTCACATGGTAAAAATGCCCTCCTTCTGGGATAGAGGAATTTCTTTCCTCAAAACCAGCCTTAAGCAGCACATCAGCTTCGATTCTGATGATTGAAATAAACGCAATTCAGTGAGCCTCTGTAACCTGCAAAACTGACGCCTTCGGGAAGTGCTAGTGATTTACAGTGGGTCACGCTCTCCGTTCATCTATTGGTAGCTGGTGGAAGTAGAATTTCTTTCAATCACTCTGGATTCATATACTACCACTGCAGTGCTACTTTTTCTAATGACAATACAGTAGTATACCTGCTACTTAAAGATACTGCAGAATGCATGCACATTGGAGAGATTCTCCTTTCCCCAAATGGAAGAAGATCTGTAATTTTGCAGAGGCAAAATTCAAATGTGGGCAAAAAAAAAAATAGAAACAACCTCCGAATAGAAATGGAGACTGAAGACTTAATTTGAATGACTGCTGGCTTTGACGCTGGCATGTCTCTGAAGTGTCTTCTATTATTTAGGTTTACCATGCATGGCTGGAAAATTGCTGAAACTGGGATACTTGCAAGGAAGGGATCTGTTTAATGAGTTCTTATGCAGTTTACAAATGAACCTATGAGAAAAAATGGCAATTCTACTGAACTTCAAGGAATCACACATGACTAGACATTTAGGCTTTCCCATCTCTGTCTAGAAATGTTTGAATCAGTTATTGCAATGCCTGTTTATTTAACATAGGCTTGTGTGAGTGTCACTGTTGCTCTATAAGTCTGCATAATTCTGTCCGTTAGCACCTTTCTGTGTTTATGTATTATATGTCCTCAGCACTTAATCCTGAACACCAATTTCAGAAGAACAAGCTGAAGGAGTATCTGTCTGCAAATATCACTGACTGGCATACCAGCTGCTTGTGCTGCCTGAAAGCTCCTGATCTCAAGTCAAACCTTTATTTTAACTATAAAAATGATCCTTGAAAACTACCAGCATGGGGAAGGCCTTTGGTAACAGCAAATAGCTTAGTTCAGCCTAGACAAACACAAAACAGAATATGCAGTTGTACTCCAGTGCAATTTATTTAAGACAGTTCTTTGTTACTTTTTGTCTCAGAATCCCAGATGGAACATACAAGGTACAGCAGCTAAGAGCCTTGACGAACTATTTTATACCTCCTCCTCCTCGCTCAGAAAGCCCCTTCCCAGGAAGTATTCCACATTGCAAGTCCTTGAGACTCATTACATTCCTCTTAGTATTCGGTTTGTATCAAAATTAATTATTTCCATAGATTGTAACAACCTGCACAGCTTTTGAAATGCAGAGTATGAGTTATGACTTGATTTGCACCAGTGTAAAGCAGGGATAACCTGACTGCAGTGGGCTGTGGAAGCACTTGGGTGTGAAGTTGGCATCAGTAGGAACTTATTTAGGACGAGTGTCCCTACACACAGCATCTCAAAAAGTAATTCAGTGACACCCTCTCACTTTTAGCACCATGTATATATTGGCTCTTTTGCAGGAATTTCTTACCAGGCTGCTACATCATTTACAGGTGGACTTGATGCTCTTAAAGGTCTCTTCCAACCTAAATGATTCTATGTTTCTATGGCTCTATCATCAGCAGCAGGCAAGATGCAAGTGGTAGAGAAATGCACAACCCTCTGCTGATGTCCTTTCAGTAACTAGCCAACTGAAATTCCAGCAGATCTCACTGAGGCAAGGGAAGTTATCGCCCCCAGCTATCTGCTCACTCTACCCACCTGCTGGAGATTTCTGCAACACAGTACAACTGTGAGAAACTAATGTAGACCCCTCACACCCACCCCAGGAATGGAGCAGCTGAGAGGTTGTGCTGACGATGCCTGGGAAGCTTCAGCAGAGGGGCACCAGCCAACGGTGGCAGCTCTCATGTCCCAGTCTGCTACAGCTGTCTGCTCAGAACACTTTTTTCCTGTACTTTGTGCAAGAGTCGGTCCAAAAAACAGCATTGTCTCAACCTTGTCATCAGGAATATGGACTCCGAAAGTTAGGCTAACATCTTGACATGAGTCTGCAGCAGCCTGCCTGAGAAGCAGTTGATGATCCTGGAAATGGAATGCCAGGCTTGTAAGGTCATTGTGCCCTGGACAGAGCAAGGACGAGAGCTGCATCTGGCAGGAAACAGCAAAAGGATAGAGATGCTGCTATCTGCTTCTGCCTTCTAGAAACCTTGTGGGGGGAGATAACAGCTGAAGGAGGGAGATTTGCAGAGGCAAGATGGCTCTGTTTTGGCTAAAGAGTGCCGTGCCATTCTCTGGTGCCAGGGATGAGCCTTAGAACTGTTACCAAGAAAGATCGATCAGCATCAATGGAGCCAAGAAGAGGTGGAGATACAGAGGAGCAAGGTGTGCTACTTGGCATAAAAAGGGGCTCCTCAGCAACTGAACTTCGGAAGCTTTCCCCACCAAGGATCACGATGATCATTAGGACTGGTGGGACGCTGCCTGGACCTGGGACCATAGGGACACCTTGAACCCATGGTAGTAGCTATCAATCTCTTTCCTCTTTTCACTTTAGTTTTCCCTTTCATTTCACCCTCTTTACCTATTGCACACTGCTTTATGGGAGAACAATAAAGTTTCTCATTGTTGGATTGTAGCAAACACCCTTGGCGTGGTCGCCTTAATTTTGTACTTCGAGATCACAGCAAACAACCATCACGAGTCCACTGAGTGGACCGTGACACTTTTTGATCAGTAAACTCCACACTCTCCAGGAGATTTTTTGCACAGATAAAACACTGCTTCCAGGGGGTGCAAAAAACACTGAACATGCCCTTTTCCTCAGATTACTGTGCTCTAGATGTGCAGATAATGCAACTGGTGATAAATAATCCTTCTGGTTTGGGGTGGGGGGCACCTGTTCCTTTTTTGAACAAGCTCAAATCTTGGCACGAACAAACCTAGTAAGCATTAATTATGAAAGCCCCCATGAAAACCAGGCAGAGTAGCTAAGTCTTTGTGAGCCCCTTCCTTTGATAAGTACTGAACTTCCCATCACTCCAGCCACAGGAAGTGATGATGACAGCGATGGCCACAGACTGTCCGGGGTGTAAACTGAGTGTATTTTTTCACTTAAAAGAACAAAAGTTTAACAGGAAAAACATAAGATTAATAAGTCATGGCAGAAATAAAAGGCAGTAAGAGAGATAAATTGGGGCTGAAGGCGAGGTCAGAAGACTGGCAGATACAGAAATGTTGTAGTGAAATAGTCAGTCAGTACAAAGTTCAGCAGAGCACAAAGCATCTTCAGAGAAACCAGAGCCTTGGTTTAACTGTTTCTGTAGGTGTGCATGCTGGCTGGCTGGTGTCTCTGGCTGCTGTGTATCCCCAAGGCAACTTGCTGAGAGCACAGAGAACACAAAACAGATCCTTATTTAACACCATAAGACTAGCAGGAATCCCAGTGAACTTTCAGCTTTGTCAGCCAGCACTGGTAGACTCCATTGTAGGTGATCTGTAAACTGGACTATGTACATTCCTCTCCTGTCCTAGGACAGAAGACCTAGAAGTGCATTTTGGAAGCTGAGACAAATCCTCTCAGTCTTAGGCTTCCAGATGGTCTGAGACAGCGTGGCTCAGCAGGCCTGACATCTACCCAAAGTGACTGTACAATGGATATGTCTTAACTGCCAATATCAAATTAAGATCTAAGTCATTGTTTTAGGGGGTCGGACACAGATCCAGCGCCTGGGCAAAGAGCATGCTGATGTAGAAATAGTGAAGTCATCCAAGTAGGCACACTCAGAGTGATTCCGTATCTGGAACCTGAAAAAACACAGGAAGAAAACAGTCATTACTAAATAATTTCTACTACTGAGCCAAATATTTTAGCCTGCTGCAAAACAAAACTTCTGCTGAAGTAGCTTCCACTTGACTTTGGTCCCTTGTGATACGGCAGTTTCAGCTCCTAAACGCAAGGTGAGTGATAAATCACGTAAGAAAAGCCTGTTTAGCTCACACAGTGTTGCACGAATCTCCATTTCTATGAACAGTCCGTAGCAGGTATCATACAGTAACAGGAGGAAAGACAAAAAACAGCTTATGATATATCCTGCCTAGAATTACTGAGGTCATAAATGCTCTGGAGAGCAAGACAAGGAGAACTGCTGTTTGATGGGCCTGATGCAGAGCTGTTTGTAGCCCACACACTAATATAAATATATAATATAATATGTTACACACCTAATATAATAACATAATAAAATCTAATATTTCTAATATAAAATAAATATGTATAAATTAAGGTAAATAGGGATGATCAGCAACATTACCTTGATACGCTGAGCTACCAAAAAACCCTTCTTGAATCAAGGACTTCTCTACATTGGTGCTAGTGGAGTTAGATCAGTAGCAATTGCAAAGAGCTCATTCTCCAGGTCATAGTTATGAATCACATGAAAAAAAAGAATCCTGATAGAAATAACATTGTAAACCTTAATTCTACATTTGCTTAAGTACATATTAGACAATCACAAGGAACTTACGAGTCCACCTTCAAGGCAACACCATTTTCCCAGTAGAAGCTTTCACCTTTCTTGTGCAATCCAATCCAGGAGTCTTCTATTTGCAAACGCTTAGCTAAAGAATGCTAGGAAAAACCAAATTATTTTTGTCAACATGAGCTCTCACAATGAGAAGCAAATTCCTCCTGTGACATTTGAGGAGGACTAGTTCATGACTCAGTCATCTAGAACACTTTCATAAGCATTCCATTAAGAGTTAAAAGCCTAATTCTGCCTTTGAATTGAGCCTTATAGTATCATAAACTTCAGTGAAGTTATTAAATTCTGTACTTTTGAAAATTTTTACTGTTCACTAAACACAAAAATACCCAAACACCAGGTATTGCTTGTGTTTGTCTATATATGCGTTTATCAATCTCTACATATGCCACGTGGTCTAAATAGGCTGGTACACAGAGGTGTTTCCAGCATTTCAGATGGCTATATGCGAACCGCTTCCCTTCCCAATTATTATTTAAATAATTTAAATTTATCTTTTTTTATCTGTGGATGTACAGATAAAGAAGACAGTTCACTGCTCCAGAAGTTTGCAGCAACCTGTACCAAACACAGCAAAGAATGATGGAAGAGAACAGAAACAGCACTTGCAATGGGTTAGTATTACTCCCTGCAACAAGCTGTCTACCATTAGACTCAGTGAACTTAAAAATGAGATAAATATTAGCTATCAGCATGAACTCTAATGGA